ATGTCCTTAAAATGAAGTCCGAGTTTGAAATATATCTCAAATAATATGCACTGCCATTTCCCCACATAAACATAACAGCCTGCAATCAAACGGTTGTCTCCTGTGCCCTCCTCTTCCTACTTGGCGCACCGGTAACTTTCTCTGCGCACGAGAGGCTGAGACCTGAGCCGCCGAATCCCTCGGAACATCATAAAAGCCATTTTCAACGGTTTTCTGGTGAAAGATTAACTACTAGGCTACTGGATGAAATAATATGACTGGTATAGGTGCGAACATTAAACACTTTTTGAAAAAAATATTATGATAAAATATTTTTATATATTTATAATTCTGCAAATATTACGATAAACTCACAGCTATTTCGCGGCCCGGCAGTAACACCTCCGCGGCCCGGTACCGGTCCGCGAACCCCTGCTGTAAAGCACCTTGAATTGCATCACTGTATGAATTGTGCTATACAAATAAATTGCCTTGCCGCCGTTTGGACACAACGGATATTTTCATCAGAGTCCGGCACACTTCCTGGGGGCTTGATCAGGACACACTGTTTTTTATTTTATTTTATTTACTTTTATCTTGTTTTATTGTGTTGCACTGTTGAGGTGTGAGTGGAGTAGAAGTACAAAGAAGCAAAACATGGAAGAACTCAAGTAAAGTACCTCAAAATTGTACTTGAGTAAATGTACTTAGTTACTTCCGACCTCTGTAAATATTGTAGATATTGCATATTATCAAATCCTTTTTTCCCGTTTTAAGCTGGTTTACAAGCAGAAGCATCTATCCCAAAGTTATATTTAGTTGTCTACTAGTGTTGTGTTTTTGTTTTGAGATACAAGAGTAGCAGATTATAGTCTAGTAGTTGGGTTATTATAGTTGTGTGATAATCCTATTTTATGTGAAACTATGCAAACAATTTATTCCATAGTGATATTCACACGACTAAATGTCCTCCTTTTTCTATAAAACCACAACATAATACTCCCATATTGTTCACGCAAAGAAAAGTCTTAGCATAGGATCCTATTGTTAACTATTTTCTAAATTTGCATAGTTTCTACAAACTGCAGTAACTCTGAATCATTTCCTGGTAACCTGATGATGGGAGTATGCAATGTCTTTTTCACTCTATCAATTCAGAGGGACGGCTGAAGAACTACATGCATGCTTGTTATTCTTAACACCATGACGAATAACTGTCAATCTGATTCTGTGTGATCAACTTTCTGTGAACTTAAAAGTGTTTTCCTTCAGTGGAATCAAGGGAAAGTGAGAAGGAAGTGTGAGGAACCACAGGAGCTGGTGCAATCATTTAAGATCCAGTCAACTACAGTGAAACCTCACTTTCCGTGGAGGTGAATGCAAATAGTTAGAGGTTTTTATCACGAGAACATCAAAATGTATGTGGAATCATGTTTCACAACTTGAAGCTCAGACTTGGTTGTAAAATGTTTCCCCTTCAAGCGTTTGGCTTTCCAATTCTGACTGTGGCTGTAAAAGATATAGAGTACAATAGAATCATGTAATGTCATTATTAGGGCTGTCAGTCGATTCAAATATTTAATGTGCGATTAATCGCAAATTAATCGCACATTTTTGATCTGTTCTAAATGTACCTTAGAGGAATATTTTTCAAGTTTTTAATACTCTGATCAACATATGAGTGGACAAATATGCTTTATGCTAATGTTTATTATCATTTGAACAATGACAAATATTCTCATGAATATTAAACACAACAACCTCTGTGTGTGTGTGTGTGTGTGTGTGTGTGTGTGTGTGTGTGTGTGTGTGTGTGTGTGTTGTGGTGTGTGGTGTGTGTGTGTGTGTGTGTGAGATGGATCGTTGGAGCTATGTGCAACTCAAGGCATATGCTCGAACGGGAGCTGCCTGGACGCTGCAATCATGTTGCACTATCCGTGCTGAGTGTGCTGACTTCTCGTACAATGTCCCACTGTCTGGCTTCCTGCATAAAGTCAAATGCTCGGCGCAGTTGTGGCGAAATGTCGCTCCTTTGTTTTCATTTAAACAGCTCCATATCCGTTAGCGCAGCTAGCTAGCACCAGATGCTAACAACAACAATGCACGTAAGGTCTCTCTCTCGCTCGCTCGCGCCACACATACACACACCCTCCCGGTCCTCCCAACAGCCAGTCGGTGCCTGCCGGTGAGCGTGGAAGTGTGGTCTGCCACAAGCGGGCGACAGGAGCGGGGCTGTCAGCATCAGCTTGTAGATGGTATTTTAAACTCGATGCGCTCTGAAACTACGGGGCGGCCGAGGACAAAAAATACACATGCGTTAATCGCGTTAAAATAATTAGTGGCGTTAAAAAAAAAATTGCGTTAACGCGTTATTAACACGTTAACTTGACAGCCCTAGTCATTATACATGTACAATGAAAGAAAGAAAAGCTTCTCCCTTTTGCCATCAAAACAAAAACATCACAACATACGGCAACAAAACCATGTGCTGCAAAAACCCCATAATATTCTCTGTTTTCACACAAAAAAATTGATCAGACCCTTCCTTCATCCACCCTACTTGGTTTTTATTTCCGTTTTAAATCAACTGTTGTGTTGTTCTATGTGTTCCTGTGTGTCTTAACTTACATTTTCATGCATTTATTAACTTATAAACATGTTGAAATCTTGAAAAGTAGAGTATAGACTCACCGGTAAAAATAACCAATGGCTCAAAAATCGTCAATCATATGGCAATTGCGATTCTAGAGAAACGCAATTATGTCCAAATCCTTCAGCCTTGGTTTCCACTACAGTTATGGTACCCTACTATTCATGTGTTATTTATTTTAATGTCTATTATCTTTGCTTTTTAATGACTGTTTTGAAATGCCATTTTCTTAATGTCTTTCATTTTTGTAAAGCACTTTGAATTGCCGTGTGTTCAAAGGTGCTATATAAATAAACTTGCCTTACCCTCACGTTCTTAGTCTCTAAAACAGGGGTGTCCAAACTAATTTAAAAAGTCTAATGAAATATGGCCCACACATGAAACGTGGGCTTGTCTTATATTGCACTTCTGAAATATACATGTGAAGAAAAAGCCAATTATCTTAAAGGACACCTATCATGCAAAATGCACTTTTTGATGTCTTTTCTACATCAACATGTGTCCCCGGTGTGTCGGGGAACTCAAGCAGCGTCAGAAAATAAAACCCCCTCTCTTTTCCTCCGTACCCAAATCTCTAAAAACGGGGAACAACGGAGCTGATCCAGATTTGCGTCCGATATGACGTAATATCTGAAATGTGGACCCACGGGCCAATCAGAAACGTTGCTATCAGAAACAATGCCCGACTGTTTTGGACGTAATATGGTCGGTGTTTACATTAGCATCGCTAACACTCAGAGCTAACCTGTACTGGAGAGCATGTGTGTGAAGAAGCAGGAAGTAAAAAGGAACTCACCTTGTGGTATAACCGGCAAGAGAGAAAGCCTTTGAGCTCCAAACTGTTTCAGAGAGAATCCTTGATGATCCATGATATGGCGTTTCATCACGGCAGCATTTAGTTTAGACGGTAGCTGCCGGGTCCCGCATGAGCTCAGACCCCTCCTCTTTAAAGCTTTATACCCAAATCAGCATTTTTGAAACAGGAAGTGAAACAGAGGGATATGAGGCATGGCTAGAATGATCTGTTTGGTATTTTGAGCAAAACACTTCATAGACATGTTTTGTTATATATCTGAGACCTATGCTATCGCCTAAAAATAGCATGATAGGTGACCTTTAAATAAATACATAACAAGCATGAAATACACCCGTCATATTTCCTCTTATTATCAGCAATCTGAGGCTTTTGTTTTAAGGAATGAGCTGCTAACAAAATAAATGAAACCTTATGGAGAGCTGTTGTGTTTCCTAAAGCATTTAAGTATCAAGAATAATTTACCAACATTTTGATTGATTTAGCGAACTTATAACTCGCTTTATGAGGCGATATGCCTCTAGTGAGCGGCCCAGCCCGTCGTATATTTTGGACTCTATCCAAGACTCAAAACAAAGACATTTGACTGGAACAATAGCTACATGTATCTTCAAGAATATAATAAAGATATGTCCCTAGCCTTTAATTTAATTTTAGTTTTGCCTTGCTGGCCTTTTGTTACATGATTGTAATGTTGTTGTAACCAGCATGTTATTGCCATGTGACAATAAAGATTTGAATTACAATAAACAAACTATCTCTTGCACTGTTGAAAAAAGGTTGATCTATTTTTCCATCCGCTGTATAGAACAGGTATTAAAGGTCTCCTATTATACTATTCTTAGTGTTGAGGAAATATTTTCCAAGGTCCATAACTTTGCCCCAGTGTATCAGTTCATGCTGTCCTGACTGAGCACAGGCACCTGTAACCGTGGCTGCTGTGCTCTCAGTGTTGTGTCTCCCTGTTCCTGCCTGGTGGCGTCAGCTGATAGAGGTGTTATCATTCTATCTTGTTATGCAGCATGTTGATTATTCTCTCTGAACTAGCTAAATACACGGGTCTGGGGTAGAGTTCTTCAGAATTGACGTGGCAACTCTCCCGTGCAGTCAGAACCTCTGGCTCTTGGACTTGTGATGTGAATTCTCCGGCCGAAGCTCCAAATAAACCATCAGTGTTTGACATCAAAGCTCCTGCTCTTCCCGTGTCGGTGACTCCCACTGCGTTGCTGCTACACAGAAGTTTCCTCTACACTTAGGCATATATTATAGGTCTCAGATATATACAAATATAAAAAGAAACATGTCTATGATGTGTTTTGCTCAAAATACCAAACATATCGTGCGTTTTAGACATCCGTCATATACCTCTGATCAGCTCTGTTGGAGAAACGCTGATTCTAAAAGACATTAAAAAGACTTTTTACACTACTTTTTATTTTGTATTTTATGACGTATGTTGGATTGTTGCATACGATTTTCATTGCCATTTCTACCCTGTAGCCTTGTGCATATGACAATAAAACCTTTCAACTTTGAATGATAGGACAGATAACTCACATCCTTGCTTGACCTCCTTCCAGCGAAACTGGTGTCTGCGCACCACGGAGAACACCGAGTCGTATCCCTGCTCCGTAATCATCTCCAGCGCCTCCTTCAGGTGGAACGGGTGGAGGCAGGGGGACGTCGCCTGGAGGTGGCAGATCACATCCACCTCTGAGGAAACACAGAGTCAAACAGCTGCTGGACACCAAGAGTACACACATATCCTTTACTCAAGTAGAAGTACAGATACTCGTGTTTAAAAATACTCTGGTTAAAGTAGAAGTACTGACTAAACTTCTTTACTCAAGTCAAAGTAAAGAGGCTTTGAAATGTACTTCAGTAAAAAGTACCCATAACTATCAGCTGTTTTAAGGAGTACCTGACCTCCCTTTATATTAATAGAACAATAATGTCATTGTTAGCTAATGAATGTTTCCATGCTGAACAACGGCAACATGACAACGTTTCCATTGGTCCCTCTTCTTTAGAGAAGACCAGGAAATGATGGATACACGGATCGTGTTCAAATCAATAGGCACGCAATGACTCTAAAGAATAATGATCACGCACCAAACACACATTCAGACTAAAGGAACCAGCTGTTTGGAGAATGAGAGAAGTAGAAAGTACAGGTATTTGAGTTCAACATGTAAGAAGTAGAAAGTACAGGTATTTGAGTTCAACATGTAAGAAGTAGAAAGTACAGGTATTTGAGTTCAACATGTGAGAAGTAGAAAGTACAGGTATTTGAGTTCAACATGTAAGAAGTAGAAAGTACAGGTATTTGAGTTCAACATGTGAGAAGTAGAAAGTACAGGTATTTGTGTTCAACATGTAAGAAGTAGAAAGTACAGGTATTTGAGTTCAACATGTAAGAAGTAGAAAGTACAGGTATTTGTGTTCAACATGTAAGAAGTAGAAAGTACAGGTATTTGAGTTCAACATGTAAGAAGTAGAAAGTACAGGTGTTTGAGTTCAACATGTAAGAAGTAGAAAGTACAAGTATTTGTGTTCAACATGTAAGAAGTAGAAAGTACAGGTATTTGTGTTCAACATGTAAGAAATAGAAAGTACAGGTATTTGTGTTCAACATGTAAGAAGTAGAAAGTACAGGTATTTGGGTTCAACATGTAAGAAGTAGAAAGTACAGGTATTTGAGTTCAACATGTAAGAAGTAGAAAGTACAGGTATTTGAGTTCAACATGTAAGAAGTAGAAAGTACAGGTGTTTGAGTTCAACATGTAAGAAGTAGAAAGTACAAGTATTTGTGTTCAACATGTAAGAAGTAGAAAGTACAGGTATTTGTGTTCAACATGTAAGAAATAGAAAGTACAGGTATTTGTGTTCAACATGTAAGAAGTAGAAAGTACAGGTATTTGGGTTCAACATGTAAGAAGTAGAAAGTACAGGTATTTGGGTTCAACATGTGAGAAGTAGAAAGTACAGGTATTTGTGTTCAACATGTAAGAAGTAGAAAGTACAGGTATTGTGTTCAACATGTAAGAAGTAGAAAGTACAGGTATTTGAGTTCAACATGTAAGAAGTAGAAAGTACAGGTATTTGGGTTCAACATGTAAGAAGTAGAAAGTACAGGTATTTGTGTTCAACATGTAAGAAGTAGAAAGTACAGGTATTTGTGTTCAACATGTAAGAAGTAGAAAGTACAGGTATTTGGGTTCAACATGTAAGAAGTAGAAAGTACAGGTATTTGAGTTCAACATGTGAGAAGTAGAAAGTACAGGTGTTTGTGTTCAACATGTAAGAAGTAGAAAGTACAGGTATTTGGGTTCAACATGTAAGAAGTAGAAAGTACAGGTGTTTGTGTTCAACATGTTAGAAGTAGAAAGTACAGGTATTTGGGTTCAACATGTGAGAAGTAGAAAGTACAGGTATTTGGGTTCAACATGTAAGAAGTAGAAAGTACAGGTATTTGGGTTCAACATGTTAGAAGTAGAAAGTACAGGTATTTGGGTTCAACATGTGAGAAGTAGAAAGTACAGGTATTTGAGTTCAACATGTGAGAAGTAGAAAGTACAGGTATTTGGGTTCAACATGTAAGAAGTAGAAAGTACAGGTATTTGGGTTCAACATGTAAGAAGTAGAAAGTACAGGTATTTGAGTTCAACATGTGAGAAGTAGAAAGTACAGGTATTTGAGTTCAACATGTAAGAAGTAGAAAGTACAGGTATTTGAGTTCAACATGTAAGAAGCAGAAAGTACAGGTATTTGAGTTCAACATGTAAGAAGTAGAAAGTACAGGTATTTGTGTTCAACATGTACGAAGTAGAAAGTACAGGTATTTGAGTTCAACATGTGAGAAGTAGAAAGTACAGGTATTTGAGTTCAACATGTAAGAAGTAGAAAGTACAGGTATTTGTGTTCAACATGTAAGAAGCAGAAAGTACAGGTATTTGAGTTCAACATGTGAGAAGTAGAAAGTACAGGTATTTGAGTTCAACATGTAAGAAGTAGAAAGTACAGGTATTTGTGTTCAACATGTAAGAAGTAGAAAGTACAGGTATTTGGGTTCAACATGTAAGAAGTAGAAAGTACAGGTATTTGAGTTCAACATGTGAGAAGTAGAAAGTACAGGTGTTTGTGTTCAACATGTGAGAAGTAGAAAGTACAGGTATTTGGGTTCAACATGTAAGAAGTAGAAAGTACAGGTATTTGGGTTCAACATGTAAGAAGTAGAAAGTACAGGTATTTGAGTTCAACATGTAAGAAGTAGAAAGTACAGGTATTTGAGTTCAACATGTAAGAAGTAGAAAGTACAGGTATTTGTGTTCAACATGTAAGAAGCAGAAAGTACAGGTATTTGAGTTCAACATGTGAGAAGTAGAAAGTACAGGTATTTGTGTTCAACATGTAAGAAGTAGAAAGTACAGGTATTTGAGTTCAACATGTAAGAAGTAGAAAGTACAGGTATTTGAGTTCAACATGTGAGAAGTAGAAAGTACAGGTGTTTGTGTTCAACATGTAAGAAGTAGAAAGTACAGGTATTTGAGTTCAACATGTAAGAAGTAGAAAGTACAGGTATTTGTGTTCAACATGTAAGAAGTAGAAAGTACAGGTATTTGGGTTCAACATGTAAGAAGTAGAAAGTACAGGTATTTGAGTTCAACATGTAAGAAGTAGAAAGTACAGGTGTTTGTGTTCAACATGTAAGAAGTAGAAAGTACAGGTATTTGGGTTCAACATGTAAGAAGTAGAAAGTACAGGTATTTGAGTTCAACATGTAAGAAGTAGAAAGTACAGGTATTGAGTTCAACATGTAAGAAGTAGAAAGTACAGGTTATTTGTGTTCAACATGTAAGAAGCAGAAGTACAGGTATTTGAGTTCAACATGTGAGAAGTAGAAAGTACAGGTATTTGTGTTCAACATGTAAGAAGTAGAAAGTACAGGTATTTGAGTTCAACATGTAAGAAGTAGAAAGTACAGGTATTTGTGTTCAACATGTAAGAAGTAGAAAGTACAGGTATTTGAGTTCAACATGTGAGAAGTAGAAAGTACAGGTATTTGAGTTCAACATGTAAGAAGTAGAAAGTACAGGTATTTGTGTTCAACATGTAAGAAGTAGAAAGTACAGGTATTTGGGTTTCACATGTAAGAAGTAGAAAGTACAGGTATTTGAGTTCAAACATGTGAGACGTAGAAAGTACAGGTGTTTGTGTTCAACATGTAAGAAGCAGAAAGTACAGGTATTTGAGTTCAACATGTAAGAAGAAGAAAGTACAGGTATTGAGTTCAACATGTAAGAAGTAGAAAGTACAGGTATTTGAGTTCAACATGTAAGAAGTAGAAAGTACAGGTATTTGGGTTCAACATGTAAGAAGTAGAAAGTACAGGTATTTGGGTTCAAACATGTAAGAAGTAGAAAGTACAGGTATTTGGGTTCAACATGTAAGAAGTAGAAAGTACAGGTATTTGGGTTCAACATGTAAGAAGTAGAAAGTACAGGTATTTGAGTTCAACATGTGAGAAGTAGAAAGTACAGGTATTTGGGTTCAACATGAAAGAAGTAGAAAGTACAGGTATTTGAGTTCAACATGTAAGAAGTAGAAAGTACAGGTATTTGTGTTCAACATGTAAGAAGCAGAAAGTACAGGTATTTGAGTTCAACATGTGAGAAGTAGAAAGTACAGGTATTTGAGTTCAACATGTGAGAAGTAGAAAGTACAGGTGTTTGTGTTCAACATGTAAGAAGTAGAAAGTACAGGTATTTGAGTTCAACATGTAAGAAGTAGAAAGTACAGGTATTTGTGTTCAACATGTAAGAAGTAGAAAGTACAGGTATTTGGGTTCAACATGTAAGAAGTAGAAAGTACAGGTATTTGAGTTCAACATGTAAGAAGTAGAAAGTACAGGTGTTTGTGTTCAACATGTAAGAAGTAGAAAGTACAGGTATTTGGGTTCAACATGTAAGAAGTAGAAAGTACAGGTATTTGAGTTCAACATGTAAGAAGTAGAAAGTACAGGTATTTGAGTTCAACATGTAAGAAGTAGAAAGTACAGGTATTTGTGTTCAACATGTAAGAAGCAGAAAGTACAGGTATTTGAGTTCAACATGTGAGAAGTAGAAAGTACAGGTATTTGTGTTCAACATGTAAGAAGTAGAAAGTACAGGTATTTGAGTTCAACATGTAAGAAGTAGAAAGTACAGGTATTTGTGTTCAACATGTAAGAAGTAGAAAGTACAGGTATTTGAGTTCAACATGTGAGAAGTAGAAAGTACAGGTATTTGAGTTCAACATGTAAGAAGTAGAAAGTACAGGTATTTGTGTTCAACATGTAAGAAGTAGAAAGTACAGGTATTTGTGTTCAACATGTAAGAAGTAGAAAGTACAGGTATTTGGGTTCAACATGTAAGAAGTAGAAAGTACAGGTATTTGAGTTCAACATGTGAGAAGTAGAAAGTACAGGTGTTTGTGTTCAACATGTAAGAAGTAGAAAGTACAGGTATTTGAGTTCAACATGTAAGAAGTAGAAAGTACAGGTATTTGAGTTCAACATGTAAGAAGTAGAAAGTACAGGTATTTGAGTTCAACCATGTAAGAAGTAGAAAGTACAGGTATTTGGGTTCAACATGTAAGAAGTAGAAAGTACAGGTATTTGGGTTCAACATGTAAGAAGTAGAAAGTACAGGTATTTGAGTTCAACATGTAAGAAGTAGAAAGTACAGGTATTTGAGTTCAACATGAAAGAAGTAGAAAGTACAGGTATTTGTGTTCAAAGTGTAAGAAGTCAAGGTAAAAAGTTGTCAGAAAAATAAGTAGTGGAGTAAAGTACTGATACCAGAAACATGTACTTAAGTACAGTAGCGAAGTATTTGTACTCCACTGCTTCCTACCTCTGCATTTCACTGTTAATGATCTGCCATCTCTACTTCCTCTTCAGTAAAGGAACACATAATTATTTCGGGGCTTTCCCCCTGTTTGTAAGGTAAGCTGACAGATCAGATTTACTGTCATTGTAGAGGCAACACAATGCAGTTATTTACAGAAGTTATATATACAATACCTACAACAAATGCAATTAGTATGCAGAGGTGGGAGAAGTAGTTAGATCTTGTACTTGAGTAAAAGTAGAAGTACCAGAGTGTAGCAATACTCTCTTAAAAGTAAAAGTCCTGCATTAAAAATGTTACTCAAATGAGTCCTTTCATTTGGAGAATTGGAACGGCACTTATCATGGCTGCCACTGAGGGACTTCCGGGTCATTTCACTCCGTTAGGAAGGTTCCTAAGCTAAATGGACTATTGGAATGCAACCCGTGTCTCTGATCAAACACACACACACATCCTGGTTGATGTTGACGTACCCGGAGTGAGTCTGGAGAACTCCTGGATGGTATCCAGGGATGAAGAAGAGTCTTTGGAAACCTCCGGACTCCTGCGGTGGACCTGCGCTCCCCAAGCTTTCGCCACCTTTTCAATCTCATCGTGGTCGGTGGACACCCAAACACTAAGAGAGATAAAAGTGTGTTATTATTGATATTAGGGTTCGATGTAGGGCTGCGAAATTTGGAAAAAATGACTAATTGGGATTATTCTGATTGAGATTGTAACTGCGAGATTGGAGGGATTTTTGGCTGCGATTCCAATACGCATTTAATATCTTGCAGCCCTAGTTATACCGTGTTTGCAATCATCTCTTCACATATACTTTCATTGCTTTACTCGTACAATACAACTTTATTTATAGCACTTTATAACCCCGAGACTAAAGTGCTGTACAGAGAAATTAATAAATAACCTCACAAACCATCAAGTAAATAAAAGGTAGGCAAAAGCTACAACAATAAATCAACAGGTAAGGCTGATACTTGCACAGTTTAAAGGGGTTGTGGCAGGGTTTTGACATTAGGGGGTTTAGGGTCTTAAGATAAGATAAAAAGTACTTTATTGATCCCAATTTGGGTATTGTACATAAGAGAAATTAAAAGACTAGAGGCAAGAGCTAAAAGGTAAAATAATCAACAATAAATGAACAGATAATGCGGATACTTGCACACTTTAAAGGGGGTTTGGCTGCTCTACTATTTTAAATTTGTGGAGCTAATTCTCAAAAATAATTGCATGTACCTCTGAAACATCCCAGAGTCCACAGCAGCCCGGAGGACCCATCCGAGCAGAGGAACTCCGGCCAGCATCTTGATGTTTTTCAGGGGTATCCCTTTACTTCCTCCGCGGGCCAGGATCAGCGCGGCGATGTGTCTCTTTCCATCCGCCTTGGAGAGCTTCTGAGCGGGCAGCAGTTCGTCCGTCTGCCCGGTACCCTCTGGAGGATCGACTGTCTTCCTGGTGTCCATAATAACTCTGGATGCAAGGTGTGGTAGACAATGCGGGTTACTGTCCACCTAAGGAAGGCAGAATGACTCCGAAATGTCGGTTTAAGTAGAAAGGAGTATACTCGTGAAACACCCCCTGCTTTCTTCTGGTGCTGTTTTTCATGCTGTTCATTCAGCCTTGATGCTCTTCACTGCTCCCTGCTGCTGCTGTGGAGAAATGTTTTTTTCTCCATAAGATTCAAAGGTTTTATTGTCATATGCACAAAGCTAAATACCATACCTTTACCATCATTACAAAACACTCTTCTATACAACAATTGTGCAATATTATTATTATTATTATTATTAATAATGTTCGATAAATAACGTGCAATTACGTATCTGCCACTACGTCTTTTTTGCTATACCTTATACCAAATACTGTTAATGTGTACATTAATGTGACCATCTATGTTAAATAAATAAAATCCTATCTTATCTACAATGTAGAAATGGCAATGACATGTTTCTTTATTGCGGTGATAACGATTTATATAAATTAGTATATTGCAAGATCACAACAGGAATGTTTATCGGGGCACTTAACTTATTTTGTTACTTCCTTATCAATGCATTTATGGGCTGCTTTTAGTGAGATTAACCCAAGAAGAAGTATTAATATCCCTTACTTAGGTAAAAGTATTAATACCACAGTGAAGAAACACTATGAAATCCTGCAAGTAAAATATAACTTATTTTGTTCATCATTTACTCCGTCTAACTGGTAAAGGTATCTTAATTTGTAAGAGAGGCTTCTCAATACTCAAATTTCCCCTCCTCGACTCCCCTCCTCGACTCCCCTCCTCGGTTCCCCTCCTCGAGACTTACGGCCCGTCTACACTACAGGCGTCAAAACATGCTTTCAACGCTTCGCCCATTCATTTGAATGGGGTGACGTAGGATATTTTCAAACTTCGCCGAACTGCATTGTGGGTAGCATGGCAAGGCGTTGCAAGCATCGCGAGCGTCTATCGGCGTCAAAAGTTGAACAATGTTCAACTTTTGAGGCTCGATGCTTGCTCGAAGCTGGCGTCAGCCAATGAAATCCCGTGTATGCAAATCTGCCAGTACAAGCGCTAGCCAATCAAACCGCGTGTATGCTGGGAGAGACTACGCAGGTCATTTCCTCATATTCAATAAATGGAGGGAAAATTCATTATAGCGGTAGTGAATCACCCGGTGCTGTATGATCAGTCTCTGTTTATCTACCGGGATACAAACCAGAGGAGCGAGGCATGGAGGGAGGTGGCAGAGACAGTGGGTGAAACTGGTAGGTTTTCGCCTGTTTGGGGATTTTATATCCAGTTTACTTCGTTTTAACATTGCTATTGCTTTGTATGTCGGGGGCGGGAGATTCATGTGATTGGTTGTTGGTCGCGTTGCTCGCAAAAAATCGCCAAGCCTCAGACACGCCCAGCTTCGAGCTTTTTCGACGCCTGTAGTGTAGACGGGCCGTTAGGCTGCTTCTCAGGTCGATTAAATGAAATCCTTGCTTCCCTCACTTGCGTCGTTTCCCTGCGTTTAGTCCCTCCCACCAGGGAAGCATGGAGGGACGCAAGGAAACCACGAGAAGCAGGGAAATGAGTTTTAAGAGCAATGGGACGTCCTTTCCTCCGGAGCGTCACGTGAAGCGACGTCCGTTTGTGATGACGCTGCACAGCTGATGTCTGACAGCAGCTCTGTCCCCGTTATTTCCACCCCCCGCCTCTGTTAGTACACATTGACTGACACAAACATTTGTATCATCTGTTGTAGACCCCAATAAATAAAATAAAATAAGAACTCATTCTCAAGAAAGATAAACGCCATTCTTAAAATGTATAAACGAACATTAGTTTTATTAATATTGATTAGAGTGCACAATAGAAATAAAATAATTGAGAGAAGAAAAAGAGATATGTTATCTATCAAAACCCAGTTAGATTAACATTCATTGGATTGCACACTTTGTTTGTTTGTTTGGATATGTAGCACATTAACATTTTAATAGCACTTAATGACTGACTGAATGGAAATGACAATACATGAAAATGTAAAACGAAAAAAGCGATCATGAAAATGTTTCCAAAAAATGAATTAAATGATTTTTGACCACTTTGTTGTTCAGATATATCACATATTTGTAACTAAATGATACATGAATTGAAACAAAACACGGTATAAACTGAGGAGTGACTCCCGTGAGGTTCATGTATTTTCTTCACTCTGCTCTCATGTCAAGAAGCATCAGATCAGTGCCTCGTCCAATCAGTGAGTGATATACAGTAAGGGGGCGGGGTGAGTATCTGAGGATTTCATCGGAGGATGGTCTGGTGGTTCCTCGGTTATCGCTCCTCCATGATCGCTCCTCGCTCCTCGATCCTCGGTCCTCCGGCAGAAATAAGAGCCATGGGAAGATGACTCAAGATGGCGCAGGCAAATCAACTTCCGGTGAGACCGAGGACCGAGGAGCGAGGAAATGAAAATAGTCGACCTGAGAAGCAGCCTTAGACCCGCCCACAGGAGATGCGAGCGGAGGACCGAGGAGGGGAACCGAGGAGAGAGGAGGGGAAGCAGCAGACGTTTAAAGAAATGAGAACTCCTCTCCTCTGAGCGGTCATTTTAAAGAGACGTCCGTTCATTATGTGGCAACAGCTGCATCAGCTGTCGAGTGTTTTGTCATAGCGCTGTATCTCTGTTAGATCAGCTGAACATTGTTCCCCCACATTGAATTAATTGAGAGTGCGGTATACCGTATAATGAGACAATAACAGGCACAGATGCGGACACACACACACAAATATATGTATATAAATATATACAATTTAAAGTATGAGAGCACTCTCATAATAACGTAACACAATCAGAGACTGGATATCCCCCCCCCCCCCCCCCATTGCGTCACGCCTCCACCGTTCCCGGAAATGCATCCGCGGAGGAGCCGTGGAGGAACCATCAGTGTATCCTCGGTTATAGCTCCTCCAGAGAGCCTCCTCGACGCTCGATGCTCGGTCCTCGGTGTGCATTTAGAGAAATGAGACGTCCTTCAAAATCCGCATCTGTAGCCTGTTATTGTCTCATTATACCGCACTCTCAATGAATTCAAAGTAAATATGTGGGGGAACAATGTTCAGCTGATCTAACAGAGATACAGGCTATGACAAAACACTCGACAGCTGATGCAGCTGTTGCCACGTAATAATGAATGGACGTCTCTTTAAAATGACCGCTCAGAGGAGAGGAGTTCTCATTTCTTTAAACGTCTGCTGCTTCCCCTCCTCTCTCCTCGGTTCCCCTCCTCGGTCCTCCGCTCGCATCTCCTGTGGGCGGGACTAAGTCTCGAGGAGGGGAGTCGAGGAGGGGAAATTTAAGAATTGAGAAGCCTCTTTTGTCTCTCTCTGCTGCGCAGGTGCACCTGATCCGCCCCTGGCTCCGCCTTCCCCAGGTGTCCTGATGACATTCAGCTGGGGACTTAAAAAGCAGAAGCTGGAGGAGAAGAGCTCTCCCCCAACCTTAACGCCGGAGGAGGTTGTCCGTGGTCTTCCTCCTTCTTCTGCTTCAGGATCTGTAGATTCCTAGTGTTTTGTGTCTTATGTACTCTGGAGGAACAGGTATTCTAGGTTTTCGCGGCTTTGTTTTCTCCCGTAGGGATTTGTTAGCTTTCTGGGTAGCGGAGGGAAGCTCTGGGTCCTACGGCCCGTGGTGTGGCTGGCCCAGGCCCCTTTGTCTTTGTGTTTGTTTCCTGTCCTCCAGCACATTGTTCATTTGCCGGTTGGCCATGTAGTACGGATGTATCACAATAAATGAACACCGTTAAATGTTACGTGTTTTCTGTGTTTTCTATGTTGCGGTTCTCCCCAACGAGTCTCTACCAGTAAGTAGAGGGCGGGGCGTAACTTATGGGGACTCGTCCAAAGGCTGTCTCGGGCAGGTGCCGGTGTTCTTTCTAGAACGGCCCTTGACAGCATATATATTTTTGCTGTGTGTGTGCAAGGTAGGGTGGCTAGAGTGATAGCCTAGCTGGTTTCAGTTTTGTTTGCTTTTTTTTTTTTGTTGAGTGAATTTAGGTTGGATTTTTGCGCTATGGAGTTTGAGCTAGAGGAGTTTGCTAGTGATCCGACTCGGGAGAAGTTGGACGCCTGTAGTAAAGCCCAGCTGGAGCTAATTGCAGGTAGATTTAACGTTAAAATTAGCAAACTGCACAAGAAGCAGGTCATCAAGGAATAGCTGTTGACATCATCATTCATTTATTGATTTCTATGTGGTCATAATTATATCAACATGCAAAGTAACTACTCAAGTCATGTGTCTCAAAAGTATATTACTTAAAAATAAATGTACTTTCCAAAACTGGTTAGATTTGTGCAGAGATAGAAGAAGTAATGAGGCCTTTATTTCAGTAAATAACCACATTTTAAAGAACAAATATTAATTGATTATGTGCTTTCCTGAGTCCTTCATCCTGAAATAAACCATGTGTCCCCTCTTCTTCATGTCTCTTCTACATCAACATGTGTCCCCTCTTCTTCATGTCTCTTCTACATCAACATGTGTCCCCTCTTCTTCATGTCTCTTCTACATCACCATGTGTCCCCTCTTCTCCATGTCTCTTCTACATCAACATGTGTCCCCTCTTCTTCATGTCTCTTCTACATCAACATGTGTCCCCTCTCTCCTCATGTCCTCTTCTAGCATCACAACATGTGTCCCTCTTCTTCATGTCTCTTCTACATCAACATGTGTCCCCTCTTCTTCATGTCTCTTCTACATCAACATGTGTCCCCTCTTCTTCATGTCTCTTCTACATCAACATGTGTCCCCCTCTTCTTCATGTCTCTTCTACATCAACATGTGCCCCCTCTTCTTCATGTCTCTTCTACATCAACATGTGTCCCCTCTTCTTCATGTCTCTTTCTACATCAAAATGTGTCCCCCTCTTCTTCATGTCTCTTTTACTCAAAATGTGTCCTCTTCTCGTCTCTTCTACATCAAAATGTGTCCCTTCTTCTCCATGTCTCTTCTACATCAATATGTGTCCCCTCTTCTCATGTCTCTTCTACATCAACATGTGTCCCCTCTTCTTCATGTCTCTTCTACATCAAACATGTGTCCCCTCTTCTTCATGTCTCTTCTACATCAACATGTGTCCCCTCTTCATGTTTCTTCTACATCAACATGTGTCCCCTCTTCTTCATGTCTCTTCTACATCAACATGTGTCCCCTCTTCTTCATGTCTCTTCTACATCAACATGCGTCCCCTCTTCTTCATGTCTATTCTACATCAACATGTGTCCCCTCTTCTCCATGTCTCTTCTACATCAACATGTGTCCCCTCTTGTCCATGTCTCTTCTACATCAACATGTGTCCCCTCTTCTTCATGTCTCTTCTACATCAACATGTGTCCCCTCTTCTTCATGTCTCTTCTACATCAACATGTGTCCCTTCTTCTCCATGTATCTTCTACATCAACATGTGTCCCCTCTTCTTCATGTCTCTTCTACATCAACATGTGTCCCCTCTTCATGTTTCTTCTACATTCAACATGTGTCCCTCTTCTTCAGTCTCTTATACATCAACATGTGTCCCCTCTTCTTCATGTCTCTTCTACATCCACATGTGTCCCCTCTTCATGTTTCTTCTACATCAACATGTGTCCCCTCTTCTCCATGTCTCTTCTACATCAACATGTGTCCCCTCTTCTCCATGTCTCTTCTACATCAACATGTGTCCCCTCTTCTCCATGTCTCTTCTACATCAACATGTGTCC